GGGGGTGGGAGTTTGATTGCACCCACTGTCATCCGCAGCAACCGTGGAAAGGTTGAACGAATAGCCTGTGGATGAGATTCATTAAAAAGTTAGTCGAGGGTTAATTTCACTGTCAGACTTGCGGAGTCCCAGTAATTGTGAGCAGCGTATTTTTAGTGAAACGTTCAAAACTTTCTCACCTTGACGATTAATGATATTTACCTAGCCACAAAACGGTGATGAACACTGTTTCATAGTATGCAGGACACATGCCATCACTGACACAGGATTTTCGCACCAACAATCCGAGCATCCTTGACATATTTAAACAGAAAACATTTTCCTCATTGCAGTTTTGTTTGAAAAGCCTGATCACGCCAAAGTTTTGGTCCACCTAAATGTAATCTACAGTTTAGGTTGAGTTGTTGTGGATATATGGAGCTGATGCAGGCCAGTTGAATGCTATCGATTTGACTCCGTCTCAGGTTGCAAAGCTTGAAAATCATGTAGGTTATTTTTACAGAGTAAAATTTTTGCATATTTTCGGCTCTATATGTCCCAGCAAATTTTTGGAGTTATCGAAGAAACGTTGGGTCTTTGAACTTTGTGATTTCTTGATATGTTCTTCATATAGTCGAGATCGTCTTTTCATCTCTCTGTCTCTCTCTGTCTGATGTGTGGTACATTTAATCTATCTGTGGAATTCCGGTTAATTTGTTAAGACGTTCAGCTTGCCATCTTGTAATATGCAACTTTCCGCAGTTACAACGGTTTGTGCCGAGCTAGCTGATGTAGTAAAATTTTTCACTTTATCTGCCAATTTCTTTTTAACTGTAAAAGCTTAAAAAGAGTTTAATGACTCGAGGACGTGGGAGGATTTCTTTTTGCTTTGCATATTTGAGGGTAAAGAACTCTATTACCATACCCACTTTTTTCTTAGCTCGCGAAAGTCTCAAGATATTATGAAGGTGTCATGCGGTGTTCTTCATGAGCATAATCGTTTTTTTAGACTGAACTTGCTGCAAGGTTGGAGGAGCTGCAGTTTGAGGTCACCAATCGCATGACAATGTTCCTGTGTGGGCGACGACCGGATCACTCCAAGCAGCAATATTTCCTTATTCCCGAACTCACAGGGCAGAATGCTGAAACGGTGGAAATGAAGTCAGCAAGGCGTCAGCTTCGTTCCCTCCCATCGTACTACTTTGAGCGCATTGTGCAGGATGTTTACGATGAGGTGCATCCTGTTTTTCTTAAATCACTGGAAGTTTTGATTCGAAGCAGTCGCCAAGTAAATGTAATTAGATTCGGTGTGGTTCGTTCAGAACTTCTAAACACCAAAAGTGCCTCATGTTTGTTTTTTTCGAAGAAACTGTTGGGAAATTGGCTAACGGTAGCCATGGCAAAGTTGATTACTCTTTGTTATGTTGTTGCCATCACTAGAATTGCAGCAATCTGCCTTTATTATTAGAATGAAGTGCGGAGCGCTTTGAGATTTCTGCTATACC